TCAATGCTAGACGATCCGAGCAGGGACACTGAGCAAATTTGCGATGAAAGATACATTTCCACATTTCATTCAACCTAATTGACTGCAGGCATGTTTGTGTAAAATATGATGAATTTCTTATTTATTAGTTTTAAATGTACAGTTACAGAATTGTCTTGGAGGATTCTTCCTTGGCCTTCTAGATTGAGCAGAAGCGAGATGGGGTCTTTATGCGTCTGCAGTAAACAATATTGGCTGATATTTATATTCCAGCAAGGTTTCCACGATGTTGTTAGGAATTAATGTGCAGGATGTCTCGTGGAAAATGAAGATGTATTATTTGAAATGACAAAGTCCCAGTTTTTGTTGTTTCGGTTAGGGCAATTTGCCTGCACTTACAAAGCCTTTAGGTCTGGATAGTCAATTTGCTAGCATTAAGCTGAGGGTGTTTCAATTTCACATACCAGCAATAAAGCAAGTCCAGCCCTCTCCTCCCTCTTCATATCTCATTCTCCTCTCTATTTGTCCTCACAGCTTGACATTTTCTGTCTCGCTGTGTCCCTCATTCACCAATTTCTCCCCCTAAGCTCAGCCCTTAGTAGCACATTTCAGGCATTAATTGAATAATTAATTCCTCTCATTAGCTTGTTTTTTAATTATTTCCTTGCCCCTTTCTTCACGTATAAACTCATCAGCTGTTTTCCTTTCTTTATTCAAATCATCCATGAAAAGCGAGGGCCGTCGGAGTGTAGCTTTAGCTCCGTCAGTGACTCCTAATGAGAGGACTGGCGGTCGAGGCGGAACCAGTCTAACACTGGCTCCATGCACCACCAGGCATAATACTAATTTAGCTCATTTAGTGTCCTTGGGCCAATTAAAAGGAGGTGAAAAGGTTTGAATCACCGTCTGGAACTGTTTTTTTTTAGGAGAACTGGCCTTGCATTACACAGGCCCAGACAGCGGTAGCCCAAGCCTGTGTGGCTGATTGCTCATTTGTTTGCAATATTTTGCACTAATTACATTTATGTACCCTACATTCACCCAAATTTGGCTCCTTTGAAGAGGCTTATTGCTTTTGACACAGATTCCTTTCAAACTAACAGGGTAATCGGTGCTAAACGCTGCCATGCAAGGTCTTTTTTTTCTTTCTTTTAATGAATTATATAATTACTGAAAGTAGATTGAATTGTTAGTTTTAGTACATAATTATATAAACAGACGGAAATCACTAAGTACAGTAGTTAATGGTTATTGAATCAAAGCCCTCTCCTGACTACTGAGACATGGTCACAATGTTCTGGCATCCACTCGGTTCTTACCCACATCTTTGATGTTACTTCCATTTTCTTCGTTTTTGTTTCACTTGGACATCACAATCAGTGAATGTTTTTAGTTGCCTCACAGCTGCATTTTATTGATTTCTTCTTCCTTTATTTTTTTTTCTTTTTATTTTGTTTGTTGTGTTTCATGTGCTTTCTTGCTGACTGGGCCTTTGTGTTGCATGCTTGTCATGTCTCAGTTTGATCGTAGCCACACAGTCAGCAGAACCATGGGCATCCGCGTCAACAAAGGTAAAGTTAACCCACTTACCTGTTATCACTTCTTCCACCCCCATTAATTCCTAATCCCATATGCTATATCAGTATCCATGCATGTTTTTATTTTTTTGTTGTTGTTTGTTTGTTTGTCTTTTTGGGTTTTTTAAGAGTCCAAGTGATGATTAATCTCATTAGCAGAAAGTAGACTTCAAAACCTCTCCCATCTTTTTTTTGTTTTATTAGTTTTATTCTCATAGTCATTGAAATATGATACAAACATTTAAATGACTATCCTAAAGAGCATAATGTTGATGACTTTCTTAGGTACACCTTTCTAGTACCATGTTAGATCAATTTTGCTTTATTTTTATGCCATTGCATTTAGCAAGGTGTTGTTGCAGATTTGTCAGCTGCACATTCATGATGCAAAACTCCTGTTCCACCACATCCCAAAGGTGCTCCATTAAATTGAGGTCAGGGCCCATATTTAACAAACTTCTTAGAGTGGATTTTTTAGACGCAAGTGCTGGAAATTTCTTAGATTTGCTCCTACTCTCATACTTAAGTGTAAGTGCCAGTTATGAACATTCCTAAGTCTAAGAATCACTCTTACTCTCAATAAAAGTTAAGATTGCTCCAGAGGACTCTTAAGAGGTTAAGAGTTGCCATTAGGAGTCTGAGATGGACTGAGAAGACGGATCACAGCGGTGCCCTCCTCAAGAATTTTCTGTAGCACCTCAGAAACTGCACTAAGTGGTCCAGGGGTCTCACCTGAGTGTTATTCTCAGTTTACAGAGTAACTAAAATAAGGTGTGGAAAACAAGTCATCAATACAAAAGAAAAAAGGGGACAAAAAATGATTGCCAGTGTCATAATGTTAGAATAAAAGGTGGATATCTCTGTGTGGCTTTTGGAGAGAATATTAAACCATCAGCTGGTGCATGAAAGCAGACGACATGATGCTGGTGAAGGTGGGATGGAACTTTTATTTTATTATGTTTTATTTCTTCAGAAAATCTGTGAATTTCATAAAATAAAATAAAATTAAATTAAACAAAAAGTCTGCAGGTCTCGGACCAGCCAGAAAATGACAGATTTTTGTGTATGAGTGAAGGGGGTAGCTTTGGGAAGAGGGAGAAGAGGAGGAGGAGGCTTCAAACTTAATATTTTCTCAGGCTGTGAGACGTAAAAAAAGAATTCAAACTGTAGTTTTTGAAATAAATTGCAAGATTTTCTTTATTCATGAGGATTACAATAATAATAATAATAATAATAATAATAATAATAATAATAATAACAATAATAATAATTTCTTTATTAATGTGGGGTTTTTTGGTCATTTAAAACAATCAGTACAATGTGACATAGTATATGAACATTATTGTGTTGAATTTGGACTTATTTTAGGATTTTCAGTTTTATCTTGACATTTCTCAGAATATTCTTGAACATGAAATCCGAGGCAGTGATTGGTTCATGCCGGGGTGCCAGATGTCACAAATCAGCTCGAAGACTGATACTTAAGAATTACTCCCACACTTCACTTAAAAGAAGACTAAGATGCTTGATAACTGACTTTTACTCAGCTTTTAACTAAGAATTTTTTTACACTTACTCTTAGCAGCATACTTAAGAGTAATTCTAAGAAGTTTCATAAATACGGGCCGAGATCTTTCAAGTCCATTGAATCAAGTCTCACCAGTCTAGGCAATGTTTTTTTTCCATTCTTGTATTGTCTGATTTTTGGTGAGCCTGTACCCTCAGTTTTCTAAAAGAAGTGGCACCCAGTGTTGTTTTCAGATGTTGCAGCCCATTTGGTTTCAGGTTCTACATGATGAAATCAATACTTGAGATTGATTCTACCTTTAACGCGTTCACTGTTCTGAAAGTCCAATGCCGCACCAGAGGAGCCGTCAAGAGACAATATCAAATATAAACACTGGACCAAACAGACATGTCACATAATTATTTAACGGGTTCTGGTTGCATAAATTTTATCGATACACAAATGCCTACATGTTTACTTTCTTACACAAAGTGAGTTGCGTGTGATGCCACATTTTCTTCTCTGCATATCGTCACCTCAGAACGGTAAACAATTCACACTGAAATCCGATTGAAGTTGCATTTAAATGATAATGCGAATAATCATGTAACCCCCACCCCCTTGAAAATAATTAAAAGACCTGCAGTGTGAACATAGCCTCTCTCATCCTCATAGATGCTCATTCTGAACTTCATCAATTTGTCCCATCATGTCCAGATTGAGTTGCTGTCACATGACTGGCTGAATTGGTAACAAGCCATGGAACAGGTGTACCTAATAAAGTTGCTGCTGATTTATTGATCTTAAAAAAATAGATAAATCTTTGAGGATTTTGAGGTTTGTAACTTTTTTTTTAATATTGTAAAAACAATCGTTTAGGAACCATGCTCAACATGTTCAAGATTAACCACAGCTGGGAATCAATCAGGCTAATCTAGAAGGTGACTGGGATTTAGAGAGTACACATAGCTCTATGACGATCTCCTTCACTAGTCAGCACATCCTTAGAAAGAACTCCACCAAGCCCTATCAGACTTTCTGTTTTCTCTTTTTTTAACACCCAAATTTTGTACTGGTGTTGCTACCCTGGGCTATCCACTGGGAAATACCTGTTACTTCACAACAGCTGTGCAGGTTGTGAGCCAAATAAACAACAACAACCAACCACATAGAAGCAAGCCACTGCAACATAGCTATAGACAGGGCTGTGAAGAAACAGCAGGAAAGGTAAGAGGCAGAACATACAGAGTCAGCAGGGTCTCTTTATAGCTTAGCTTCAACTGTTTTATGCCTTATTGTTATCCTTCCAGTGTAAAATCAATAGTGCAGGTGGTGCAGATAGCCTTTTGTGCACTAACAACCCTTTATTAATAATATTACGAAGCATGAGCTGCAAAACCTCTAGCATAGTGCATTATATCCATCTCCAGGACCTTTACAGATAGTGTCAAAGGACTTTACACCTTTTCATCATCCATTCTTTTACCCCTTTTGTAGTCCCTGAAGATTAGTGAGTGGAGCAACATGTGCAATATTTCCGTATCTCAAACTGCTCTCACATCCACAACTTCCTTTTAGCTTTGACAGATCTGAAAGATGCAAATCGGCCTGGTTCCAAGCTTAAGCATGTTTTTGTTTTATAGTAATCACTGTCTGCACTGCGTCAGTTCATGTATGACTGTTCTGTGAGTGTGTTCATGTGTGAGGAGCACTGAGCCAGTGGAGCCACAGAGCGAGATGGACGGGGTAAGGTGTGAGCACAAAGCAAGAGCTGCCTGTTCACCGAACGAGGGTGTTGGAACACGACTGTTGTTTCAAGGCAGAGTTGTCAGTGACAATGATACCCCTGCTCCCCACCCTCTGCTTCCCCTTCTTCTCTTTCTTCCTCCTTTCCCTCATCCCATCTTTGTTCTCTTCCTTTCATTTCATCACCACAGAGGGAAAAGAGATGGAGCATTTCGTCTACCGGAGGTGAAAAGAACTCCTTGAGTGTAAGTAGAGGGGGGGTTTGGGCCGAGAGAGGGGATTGGAAAGGGGGGCTTTGGGGGCAAGGAGGGAAAGCAGATGGGCAGAGATGGCCAAAGCGAAGGGATATACATGCAGTAGTAGCACAATCGCGTCCGACATAGCCTCCCAGGGATAAAGTTGGGTTTAACTGCAGCATTACCCGCACGCCTGCATTACAAAATGTTCCTTCGCCAGCATTTAGCATGCAAATTGGCTCCCAGATTATGCCTTTTGTATTCATTTTACAAACTGTCAGGCTGTGATGCGGGGAGAATGATAATAAGGCAGATATTGCCCCCTAGCGCTACGCTGACAATCATCACACACTCAAAAGAAGGGTAAGGATTGGGGGAGGGGTGTTTTGTGCTATGCCGCAGATCAATGAGTTGTGTGTGTGTGTATGTGTGTGTGTGTGCGCGCCAGATGAGGAGATAGACTGGGGCAGAGGGTGTAAATAACTCAAAACGAGTTACATGTGAGTATTTTTGAGTTGGTGCACTGAAGCAAAGGGGGGTATTATGAAAAATGAATGTCAAGAAAGCAAAACGATAGGAGCTGCAGAGAGTTACAAAATGATGGAATGGAAAAGCTGATGGGATTGTGTTTGCGGCGTGCATAGATTACACATGTGCAAACAGGTTCAAACAGACAGTTTACAAATTAAAAGAAAACAACAACATGCAGATTCTGACTGCCGTCTCATTACATGCTGCTGTTTGGTCTGCAGTATGTGTTTTATTGTATACTATGTTCTGACTTAAGGCTGGTTTATACTTCTTGTCGCACGTCTTTTACCACCTGTTGAGTGAAAAAAGTTCCGCAACTTCCATCTGCACTCCCGCTGCTATCCCCCGGTGACAGCTGTCCTATACATTGCCCCCAGTCAGCATTCCGAGACGCAGAGGATGCAGCGCGGAGCGCATGATTGGTTCAACATTTGTGGGCGTTTTTGTGTTGTGTGACACCGCTACCCGCTACTCACTACCAGAAGCCGTTTTTTGTTTCTAAACATGGATCGTTTCGAAGAGCAACTCATCGAGGCGGAGGCGGTCCGAGGTACAACTATCTGTGATTGCGTCGCTGCATGCTGAAGGTGATGGGGAGATCCAGTGGGCAAAAATAAATATAAAGATCCGGTGGGCAAGTGCCTCGAAACAAGCAGCGGACATTTGAAAATAGAAGTGTTTTTTGTCATTCATCTCCCACATCTCCCACACAAGCTAAACTTGCAAGTAACAAGTTTTTTTTTTCTTAGCAACTAGCAGTTATTTACATGCTAAGCTAGCGTGTGACGTCTGTGGTGGGAGGGCAGAGGGAGGGATTACTATAATGTACCCCCCACGTCTTATCCCAATATAAACACTGAATGCTGTCGGTGACACACAAGCAATTACGTCATCGCTGGGCCGCAGCCACACATCTTGCATTAAGTATAAACAAACCTTTAGGGTTTGACACAGGCAGTTGATCAACTAAATTTCAGATACACACTTATTTTATCAATTTTAATCATTTACTTTAAACAGTAAGAAAATCAACAAGTTTATTAAGCGTAACATGCTTTGGTTCAGCAGTGTAACCACATTATGGTTTACATTTCAGGAATGTAGAACTTGTTTTAGGGGTACTACTTTGTTTACTATGACATCATATCCTATGAGATCCTATCCAGGGTGTGACCAAGTTTACTATAAAAATTGGAGGAAGGTCTAGCTGCAGCCAAAGCCACTACACAACAGCCTCCCCTTACCCTAACCCTGAGTGTGTTTTGTACTGGAAGTAAGAATGTGTAGTGGACAAGGGGCGTGTTTTGTAGTGTCCGTGGACATTGTGTTTTAGTGCAATGGTGTTTTTAGATCTGAAAACAAACATTCAACTAAGAAATTAAATTGGTTTTCTGTGCATGATTCATGCACCCAATCTGAAAAAAAAAAAGTTTTATAAACTGAACAAATTAGCATCATATTGCTTGCATTTTGATTGTTACAGAACTTAATTTAAAGAAAACAGTTATAAATTTCTCACCCTCCTGGAATGATAGATCTGATCACAAAGGTGGCTGGTTGAACAATACTTTAAACCACATGAAACCTTATTTGTACTCGCAGGTAGATTTGACTACAGCAAAGTGAGTCATGTTCCTCTCTAAAACCACAAGACACGACTTACAGTAGATACATGATTTAAGTGACCAGGTGCTCAATATAAAAATAAGAGCTTCCAACTTTAAAAACAATATCAGAATGAATAAATTAAATGACATAAAAAAGACAAGATAAAATTGAGTAAGAGTAGTAATTACATATGCTGCGGGTAAAATAAGTATTGAACACATCACCATTTTTCTCAGTAAATATATTACTAGAGGTGCAAATGACATGAAATTTTCAACAGATGTTGGTAACAACCCAAGTGATCCATACATACAAAGAAATCAACCATGCATGTCCAGAAATGAAGTTATTTGTAATAATGTGGAAAGGCACAGGGAAAAAGTATTGAACACACTTACTGAAATTTATCTAATACTTTGTACAAAAGCCTTTGRTGTKAATGACAGCTTCAAGACGCCTCCTGTATGGAGAAACTAGWGGCATGCATTGCTCAGGTGTGATTTTGGCCCATTCTTCCACACAAACAGTCTTCAAATCTTGAAGGTTTCGTGGACCTCTTCTATGAACTCTGATCTTTAGTTCTTTCCATAGATTTTCTGTTGGATTCAGGTCAGGTGATTGGCTGGGCCATTCCAGCAGCTTTAGTTTCTTTCTCTGAAACCAGTTGAGAGTTTCCTTGGCTTTGTGTTTGGGCTCATTGTCTTGCTGAAATGTCCAGCCACGTTTCATCTTCATCATCCTGGTAGATGGAAGCAGATTTTTATCAAGAATGTCTCTGGACATTTTTCCATTCATCCTTCCTTCAATTATTTGGTTTGCCAGTACCATATGCTGAAAAACAGCCCCACACCATGATGTTCCCACCTCCAAACTTCACTGTTGGTATGGTGTTTTTGGGCTGATGTGCAGTGCCATTTGACCTCCAAACATGATGTGTATTCTGGCATRCAAACAGTTCAATGTTGGTCTCATCTGACCAGACTATATTCTCCCAGTGTTACACAGGCTTGTTTAAATGTTGTGCAGCAAACTTTAAAGGAGCTTCAACATGCTGTTTCTTCAGCAGTGGAGTCTTGCGTGGTGAGCGTGCATACAGGCCATGGRGGTTCAGTGCATTACTTATTGTTTTCTTTGAAACAATCGTACCTGCTAATTCCAGGTCTMTCTGAAGCTCTCCACAAGTGGTCCTTGGCTCTTGGACAACTCTTCTGATAATTCTTTTCACTCCTCTGTCAGACATCTTGCGAGGAGCACCTGGTCGTGGTCGGTTTATGGTGAAATAATGTTCTTTACACTTCTGAATTATGGCCCCAACAGTGCTCACTGGAACCTTCAGAAGTTTAGACATTCTTCTGTAACRGATGCCATCATTATGCTTTGCAACAATAAGGTTGTGAAGGTCTTGAGAGAGRTCTTTACTTTTACCCATCATCAGATGGTTCTTGTGTGATACCTGGCCATCATTTGGGACTGAACCAGCTGATATTAACTTGCACTGACAAGGGGCAGGCTTGCTTTCTAATTACTGAGAGAGTTCAGCTGGTGTCTTGGCTTTCCATGCCTTTTTACACCTCCCTTTCTTCATGTGTTCAATACTTTTTCCCTGTGCCATTCCACATTATTACAAATAACTTCATTTCTGGACATTTTGATTTCTTTGTATGTATGGATCACTTGGGTTGTTACCGACATCTGGTGAAAATTTCATGTCATTAGCACCTCTAGTAATATATTTACTGAGAAAAATGGTGACATGTTCAATACTTATTTTACCTGCTGTAAGAGGCAGTTATTATTCCAGTTGACAATCTGGAGTATTTCTTCATGCGTTAAGTTGTATTAAATCACATCTGACACCATGGTTACTTAATCACTAAAAGGTGGACTACTCCTTTCAGTTTAGAGATGTGTTGTTGCATCAAGTAGATAAGTTTATCTTGGAGTCTTGTTTTCAAGTGATGACAAGTTGAAGCAAGAGATGGACTTGACAGATTAGAGCTGTGCCTGCATACTCAGGGTCGCCCTGGTCTGTAAATACAGAACTGAGCCAGGAGGCACAGCTCTGTATTTACTAGTTCATCTATCTACATTCCAACAATCAACTATTGACATGGAATAATTGTCATGACTGAACTTTTGATAAGATATTGAAATTAAATGAATGTTCAACATGACATTGCGGTTTTCTGTAGAAGAACAGATATTTTATTTCTATTGTTTAATTTATTTTTCACACTGTTTTCAAGTGACAGCTTATAAAACAATGAGTATACAATCATTTCCAAAGCACTATGTAGAACAATTGCCAAGCAAAAAAGAAATTGGGCACTTCCCTTCTCTGATTATTCCATTATGTTTTAGTTAAAACACTTGGAGTTTAGTTATTATTATTATTTTGTCTGCCACACTGCCCTGCTGTGTTTCTCAGGATACCTGTGTGAGCATTAATATAATGAGATGAGAACCAGATGAAAAGATACAAAAAAAAAAAGAACAACAATCTGATGATTTATATTAGTCAGAGGGCTTTTTGTGGGGATCAGTTGGTGCTTCTTACATCAACAGTCAAAGTGAATCAGCACCAGTTTCTTCTAAGTCATCGCTTCTATCCTGTTTTGGGGCATTAGTGTTGCTATGGCAGGGAACAGTTTCCAAGACATTTTATATTGGTATTTATTTTTTATGCTACCTTTTATGCTACCTTTAATGCTCGGTTTATACATCGGTATGACGTGAGAGCAGATTGGTGATTGCGTCATTGCAGATGTCTTTTTCTGAACGAGTATAAACGGGCTGAAGCTCCGATGAGGGATCAGTTGTGATTTTTACCTCTGCACTCTCAATGTAACACAGAGCATAATTAAGCATAAAAACAACAACAGTGATAGCAGGATAGATTTTTATGTTGTTTTTTTTCACTCAACCAAATCAGCAACTTGAAGTATAAAGCAGCCTTTAGATTCTCAAAGTTATATCCTCAATACACTGATAAATTCTATGAATAATTCTCTTCTGAATATCAATAAGGTATTCCATTATTTACAGAGTTCTAAAGGCTCATGAACAGCTGTGTTCTTTGTGGATTTAGTCTAAAGTCACCATGTTGTTTCTTGGTATTTTTGTCTTTGTATGATTTGCTCTGTCAAGAACCATCTTGGCTAATGATCCCTGTGTCTGTCCCCACTTGTGTTCATGCAATCACACTATGAGATCTCTTAGTGAAAACAAGACTAATTTGAATAATGGCCCTTATCTGATGTATAATGCCACCCGTAATTTTGTTTTGGCTAATCCCCCAACACGGATTGTGTTCTACATGCACCACTGGCTCATTTGCAGACCACATGCTGTATTCAAAGGCCCTAGCCTTGAAAATTGGTGTGCTTTTACCCGTTAGTTTGATTTTCTAAATGTAGAAGATGAGAGAGAGAAAAGGACACTCTTACAAATAAAAGTAAACAATGTCCTTTGCAAAGAAGAAGTGGTGAAGTGCCTTGAACTAATAAATGTATTTACTAGACTCCTTTTCTTTATGATAACGGTTAAGGGACCTCTAAAACACAAGTGGCTGCCTTTATGCATGCATGTTGCCATTCGCAAAGATTAGAGAGACTATTTGATCAGTTTCTGTCAGTGCACTGTGTAGCACATTTACTTCCTGGCTTTACAAATGGGTTTGATGCAGTGCTTTTTAAAATTATTGGTATATATTTTTTTCTTATTTTATTATAGCATTGTGCTTTAAAAGTACAAGAAAACTGATGCGTTAGAAAATCCAGACATGTTTAGCAATCTTAGAAATGAGAAGCTACTCTTAAGGAAAACTGTGGTTGCAATATTATGGTCTGTAGAGAATATGTAAATGATGTCAGGACATTTCTGAGGCCCCAGGTTGTATACAAAACTGGAATTCAAAATTCTAATCTGTTGAGGATCTCGTTGGGTTTATAGTGTTTGATTTTAGTTGCTGTTTAGTCTGATTAAAATAATTAAACTTCTTGTCTGGGTTAAAATAAAGTCGTGCTTTGAATTAAAATAGACAAAATGGACAATAGAAATGAATCAAGAGACACTTGTTTTGCAAAATGATTCTCATTTATTTCTACAGTCACATGCAAACATAATTTTAACTTATCCAGCAGTGCAATTGGTTATGATCCTTGTACTTTTTGGTCATCTGTTTTTAATTAAAAAACAAACTAACTAAACAAAACAACAGAAACTGTATTCTCATTTTATACTCCAAAAAAATGAAAAAAAGGTCAGTCTTTTTATTTTTGTCAAACTAAAAGTTTCACACTATTGTCAAGACATCTTAATGATGTTAACTTGCTGCAGAGTCAAGCTCCTCACCATGGACCACTTGGAAAAAAGGCTTCTTGTACTAAAAGCACCAGAAGCTCCAGGAAACAGCTTGAATCATCAGTGACATACAAACAACATAACATATACAGTAGAATATACAAACAATCAGCTGACATTTGTTAAAGAAATACCAAAAAATTCAACTAGGGTTTATTTATTATGGCTACATGGTTAAATGTTAAATAATACATTGTTTTTATTCATCCCATTTAAGCTGGAGCCATAGATATAAATACACACATTTTATGAATTAGCTAGATTACCTATATTAATAAAAAATATAGTCTTCAGCTTGTTAAAGAAATGCAAAAGTAGGTAGCTAGTGTTATTTATTTACATGCAGCCACCTTAAATGGTCTGATAATGACAGTGTTAAACTCCCAGTTTGAGGAAAAAAATTGTCCACTTCCCTGTTTTTGGAATATGCAAAGAATAAACATTGTTTTATGTTTTTCAATATCTATTTTTAAAATCAGAAAATTAATAACCATCCATTTTTCAATATGTGCTTATAAAACAAAATTCTAATGACCAAACAAGTACACAGACCGGTTACAATCATATGGCAAACATTTCCATCATCCAATACAGTTTTTTTAAAGCATGGTTATATGGAGAAGTTAAGAACAAGTATCTAACCTGCAGTTGGTAGCTCCTTCAGCAGTATATTTTGAAAAATAGAGCTTAAGATGATCTTGACCAATTTCGGTCAAGATCATTATTGGGTGGTTTATTGCTATCCTAAAACAACTCTCATTTCAAAGGTTTTATAGGAATTCATACAACCAGCATTTTAGAAACTTCTACAGCATGTTATTTTACATTAGATGATGATGTGAGGTTATTGAGGACTGTGTTGATCTATTGTATATTATCAATAATTTTCCAAGTGAAACAAATTTGGCAATTGTGACCTGGCAGATAAATTATCTGATGCAAAAAGGGCAGCGTAAATTACTAATTAAATGACAATTTTACTACATTTTTTCCTCAATTTCCAATTGCTGCGGGGCAGTTTTGAACAGTTTGATGAATGTATTAATTTTAAGCTTACACTCTATATTGTTCAGCTTTGTACTTTTGTGTTCCCAGTAGGGGATAGTTGTTTACAGTGCACACAATTTAGCTTTGTAGCATAGCTTCCTTTACAATTGAGCTGGCTCACTGCATCATGACTAAATGTTAGTGATTGGGTAAAATCAGATCCAATCATTTTAAACTGCAACAGAGAACAGCAAGCATTCATTTCTCAATAGCAAAAAAAATAAATAAATAAAAAAAAACTACAGTTTTAATTCATCACAAGTATGATAAAGATTGAGTTGAAAGAGTTGGATAAAATATAAAACCACAAATTTAGCGTATTTTTTTAATTTAGTCTCTGACTGATTAAACCAAACAGCTGTCCCAAACATCTGTTATGTCTGTTGTTTTCATTTTGCAATAAATTCTACTCAAAAAAGGTAGAACAATAATTCAAGTTTCTCTTAGAATGAATTTCTTCCCCAGTTCTACGTGTCCCTGTTTAATTAAACATACAATGCATTATTCTCACATTGGTGTTGTATTTTCTCCCAGGACAAGTCAACCCCCGAGGACCAGAGCTCCTGGAATAGCTTCAAGACCATGACCCCCGAGCTGTCCATTGTGCCTGGGGAGCAGAAGGACCGCCTGGAACTGCACAATAAGAACTGGGACTCATCCTCGGCTAACACACCGGACTCGTCCGAGGGAGACTTTCAGACTGAAGTGTGAAGACACGCAGACACAGACTCACTCAAACACATGCAAGCTCATGTTGAGATAAAGATGCACACAGAGATACTGGACTCCTCAAAAAATATACAAAGGTACAATTTTTTTAAATTTTTTTTTTCTTGCAAGGAACTCAAACACTCTGCTCCCTGTCTCATGCATTGTGCTTTGTTGGACCCCATACTGTATTTGTTTACAGCTGCAGAGGACAGATATGAAAGGAGAACTGTTCTACTTTATATTTTCGCAAAGACTATTGAAAAGAAAAAAAAAACATGAGCTGGACACGTCTGTGACTGAAGACCATTTTTAAATGAACTTAAAGGATTGAAAAAATAATCTAATTTCTGGAAAAATATTGATTTTATTCTGAAGATTAAAAAAATGTCTTTCAAGTGTTGATGACTTGGGGTGGGCAGTGTGGGGAGGGGAGAAAGAAAAAAAAAGAATATTTCTGCACTTCTATTGTTTTGTTTGATTTTTACAGCAAAGGGAAAATATCTCACTGATGTTTCTCATGCTGATAATACACCCACCCCAGAATAAGGCAACCTACTGTCTTTTATTTTTTCCCCCCTTTCTAAAAGATGACAAAAATGTTCACTCGTTCAGTATTTCCTATGTTTTCCTTATTTTAATCATGTCAAAGGGTAGGAAATAGGGGGTGGGGGGGGGGGGGGGGAGCCACCGACTAATATGGGCCATTCTTTTCCCCATTTTCAGGTTCAGTTCCACTCATCTAAACCTCACGTCAAACTTTGTGTCAGTATTTCTTTTTTTTTTTCTGATGCTTTAGTTAAATAAAAGAAACATAATTCTCTATAGTTTGATGCTTTTACAGGAAATAATGTGATTGAAACAAATGGCTACAAGCTGACTTGTGTTCTATGCTCCAACAATTCAGGAAGAACTGATTTGTTTCCACCAATTTGTGCTTGCAATGCTTATTTTCAATATTAGCTACTTTATTTTTCCATTTGCAAAGAAAATCAGGTTATGTGGAAAGTTAACAATCTTTTTGCAGCAAATAGCACATGAAAGTGAGGGAGATGATGTGAGGTTTTCTTAAAGATGGATACCAATAATAACAGTTATTTTTCTTTAAATATAAAGGTTATACAATTTGATAAATTGCAGTCATTGTCAGTAACAGCAAAACCCAACAAAAAGAAGTTATCTCAAACATTTCTGACCAATAAGAGTCCCTGTGAGCTCGACTCTAATTCTTGTTACTGCATCGGTTTGATTTAGCAGCTAATTCTCACCATTCAGTTTAATGGGAACTATTGTTGGCTTCATCACTTGATAATTTGTGACATCGCTTGAGCTCAAGAGTGCCACAATTAAAAAAAAATCAAGTCTGAAAATCCCTTGCTTTTGTCAGAGACTGCTGTCCCTTCTCTCAATCTGCCTGCCCAAAAACGAGCAACTCGAAAGCATTGAATCTTAATGCTGACAGCAAGGGGTGATGTATAATTCCTCGTTCCCTTGGATCCCTTTCTGTTTTCTGGTCCTGTGTCTGTGAGCACAGCAGCTGTAAATAAGGTAATAAAATAGAAAGATAGAAAATGAATCAGTGCTTATGAGACTGCAAAGCATTAGAATGAAGAGGAGCTGACCATGGTGCTTCCTGTTTGACATTCAACACCCATGCTGCAGACATTACAAGTGGATGGCCGCTTTCCTACTGTGGCTGCATTAGCACGTCGGTCCACCGTGACGGAAATAATGTGTCAAATCGCTGGATGAGTTCAATACACAGCTCAAATAACACCTCTGTCTATCTTCAAAGCAGCTGCCATTGATGTAAAAGCTGAAGGGGGTAAAAAAAATGGGAGCCAATTTATGGAAGGGGGGCGAACAAAACCATGGCCAGGAAGGAATCCAAAAATACATGGGTTAAAAAAATGCAAGCAGAAATGCAGAAGAAGTGGAGTGCTCAAAACAGTAATTACCCAGGGATGGTGATTTGTCCTGACATTTTCCATTGCAGCCCTCAAACCATCTGTTTAAAGATCCCTAATGTGGTGGTAGAGCAACGCAGCGCAGATGGTGAGACAAGAGTGCCGCCCTTCTAACCTTTATAGCTAATCAGCTGATAGGCTAACTTACAGCTCCAACCCTCTCCGAGGAGCGAGATTGGTTTGACTCAAAGTTAGCGAGGTAAGGTCACATTCACCTGACCTTCCACGAGGCTCAGGACCTAGATCCACTGAACAAAGCAGTCATCTGTCAGCTACATAGCCTTGGTTAGTAGGTGATACTCTGTAACATTCTTTTGTTCTTCTTACAACATTTAAACAGATCCTTTCAAAGTGAAAACAAATTCTTGTTCCCATGGTAATATGGTTTGCTGAACAAAAGAAACATTAAGGTTTCAGTACAGATAGAGATGTTCCAATAGCAATGTTTTAATCTCAATGACAGCTGGTTTTCATCGCTGAGATTCTTAAGCAAAATGCTACTTGATTGATTCAGATGTTAATCATCCATATTACTTTACATCTGTCTATTTTGTTTCATTTTATGGTACTTTGTTGTGATGTTTGTTACAAGACAAAAGGAAACTGGTCAGACTATGCTAGCATTTAAAGCTTCTTTCATTTCCCAAAGTTAACTTTCTATCAAGGAATGTGACCCACCAGAAAGCAAATTTGCAACTAAGGTTTATGTACAGTCAACTCAAAGACCTCCCTATAGCTCACCTTCACGATCCACTCTTCAACACTGGATGCCTAACTTCTACAATCATCCAACATACCGGTTGACTTATTAATGAAAAACCTCCCCCTTTCTCCTTCATTTTTTGTTCTTTTTATACATAAGATTGTACAAAGTAGTCCTCTAATGTTTTCATAGTGTCTTTTTTATATGAAAATAAATTTTCAAACTGATCTCAGCGTCTCCTATATGCTGCTTCAAGGGCATCTGTTGTCTCTTTCTTGGTTTGCAGTGTACTCACAATCCCATGTTTTTTTTTTTGTTTTTTTTTTTTTGTAATATCACTCAGGGAGCCTGGCATGACAAACTCTTACCCAGAAGCGCTGAAGCCTAACCATAACCAATCAGAGTGGCCGCTGGTCTGTCTAAAAATGTTGGAACAGCTCTGCAGTTTGACGTTCTGTTTCATCGTTATAACCAAAGGGTGTGAATGTCAAGTCCAAGAGATTAATCCGTTGAGATAATGTACAAACCTTGAGCGATACTTGTGCTGATAAGTATTTTTTAAGTGGAATTTCATTGAAAATGACTATATTTAACCTGGTGAAAATTCCCTTTTTTCAGACGGGCTTTAATAGTCCACTCAGCGGTGCTGGAATCAAAGCAACAAGAAAGGAAGAGGCGGTGCACATTTCTCAAATCCTCTACATATGCCCTCAGTGGGGCTTGTGAGTAATTAAGTGTGGATGAGTCTGCCTGTGGACCTGCCATCAGTCACCTTGGAGAAAGGCCACTGACTGGAACCTTCTCAGTGGAGTGAGGGGGATGAATGAGGGGTCAGAGGAGGCAGAAAATAGAGAAGCAAGCCCTGAGGATGAAACGCACAATGACAGAGTAAAAGCAAAATGGGAGTTTTAGCGTTACCTGGGGCAAAAGATTTGAATTGATAAGAGTGACGTTTAGTTATTTTCTTCCCGAAGGATTTCTGAGTAATTAAGTTATAACAGCACAGTAACTTGAAGAGTGACTGAGTTGACAAATGATACAGAATGACAAAGTGAAGAGTGGACTCTTGAAGGAAGATAACACATTTTAACTCAACTGAGTTTGTATCCACAAGGAATGGCATGACAGAGCTGCCTTTCCTTGATATTTTCGATGTGAGCGCAACACATTATTGCATGTCCTTGACCCTTCTGGGAGACAGCAAAGTGCTTTAACGCTCAGTTGAGCAATTCTATGGGAACAGCTGAAGCAAGCAAAACAGCCCTGCAAAAATTTCTGCTTGGAGTTGTATGTAAAGAGGCATGAAGAACATATTTGAGTATACTTTCCATTAAAATTAAACTGATTTGCAAACTTTTCATTGTGCATTTTGCCTGGAGATGGGATAAACGACTCTTTGAAGTGATCCAGATCTTTACAAGTCATTTGTTTCATAAAGCAGTTCAAAAGAGATGTCTGAACAAGATATGTCATGGCCTAAATGCATCATCACGTCACGTGGGTGGAACCATGTGATCTATCAAGCAGAATCCCTTTCTTCCTGAGCTGCTGTACTCCACTCATTTGCCTGTTTTCTGTGAAAAAGCATAGGAGAAGCAAAATAAATATATTACAAATGATAAGAAAAGTAAAACTAAATGTCTGCAAATTGGCTCCTCACTGTAAGAGGCCATTCAAAAAAATTGGATTGTTTGCGAACATCACATTTTTTTCACCAGTTTGAAAATAAGGCAATTGTTGTCCTGTGCAACAATTGCATTGTTCTCATTGACTTCGGTACAAGACATTGGGAAAATACAGTATGTAACATTTGTTTGTATAAACTGCCCTACAGAGGGTATAATTAAGCTAAATATTTTCAAATCTTTAAATATTAATACTAGCCACTGAAAAGGGGATAATCCAAACCTTTTACTGTTTGTAAGTTGTATCTCACTGGGCTATGACTGTTGGAGATTGGTTTAAGACAAAACAAAATATAAAATACACATATTTATTTTACTTGGAATCAACATGAATGATATGTTTGCTCAAGGGTATGCAGTCAAAGTACAACTTGAGTACAAATAATCACCCAAGTCCTTGGTTGGTAAAATGGAGTTATGCAATTATTTTAGTAAGGTGTAATGGACTGCTTTAACTAACGACTAAATAGCTGTTGGTTAGTTAACTCACAGGAACATCACAAGCTGTAGGATGCATTGGCAAATAAACTATATACAAAAAACTAATACTAGAACTAATAACAACTAAACTAAACTGAAACTATGCAATAATAACTAATAAAACTAGCATGCCCACTGTAGAAACCAATTAAAACTATCTGAATTAAAAGAAAAAGTCTCAATGAAATAAAACTAACTATAATGACAAATCCCAAACTATTATAACCTTGGACAGAGTCTTGTGCAACTTAAGGTTTACAGTTAATATTTCAAGATATAGTAATATGCAGTGAATGAAAGGAAATGTGCAGTGAATGATAGGAAAGCACTTTGGCTGACAAGAAAAATAATACAAAACAAGAACTGAAAAGCAGTTATGACTGGGGTCCAAACACGTTTATGCATGTCCACATTGGCCCATGTCATACTCAGCACCCTGTCGACATGTGCACCACAGAGTTGAAACATTAGGAGTAAGCATAAAGTCTATCTGAGGCCCTAATGTCTTAAATAGATCTAGGTCTTTAAAATAGTTTTTTCCATATGTCCTCTGTTGCCTTTTTCTTTTTTGGTCTTTTTACTGCCAGCTGCATTAATAACATCCTTAAATCAAACTCTACCAACTGTGCTTCCTCTGGACATGTTCAAACCATCTAAGTTTGGTGGTTCTAACATTATCTTCCATTTTTTCATCTGTAATAAACTGCTGATGATCTCATTCCTAATTTTATTTATCTTTCTCACAAGGAGAATCTCAACATCTTCAGCTCTGCCACTTCAAA